ATTTAAATATGGTAGGTGCATGAATTCAGCAAAATAATCCAATGTAGTCCAATAGTCCATGATAGCAGTGGGTTTTCCATAAGACTGGTGATGTCAGAAGTTGTTGACTTGAGCCTTTTACAGCTCAGCAATCTGTGTATTTTTAATGTTTTGTTATCTTATTAGAATACAGATTCTTGACGTAGAAATTGTTATACTTTACAGATTTAATGCAATCCCAATCTAATATCAATAGTATACATCACAGGATGAGATAAAAGAATCATAAAACTTATTTGGAACCAAAAGAGTCTTACCATAGCAAACAAACAAACAGAAAATTCTAAGCAATAAGAGCAAGTCGGTAGGCATCATAATCCCTGCCTTGAAATGATACTATGAAGCTACTGTGATTAAAAATAAAAAGCATGGTATTGGCAAAACAAAACAAAAGACCCAGACTCAAGGCTAACAAACAGACTAGAAGATATAGAAACAACTCCAAACATACTCAGGTATGTTTATCTTATTGGGATAAAACACCCTTAGTGGAAGAAAGATAACCTCTTTCATAAATATTGGTGGAGAAACTGACTTTCCATGTACGTAGACTAAAATTAAGCCCATTTCTCAAACTGTACACTAAACTAAAATCAAAATGAGTCTAAATATTAAAACAGAAACACTAAATCTACTGAGCAAATAAGCAGAACTCTTGAAGATGTAGGTTCAGGCAAAGACTTTATGATCAAAACCCTGATTGTAAGGGAAGTATTACAAAGAATCAACAACTATGATCTCATCTTATTTTTTAAAAAATTGCATAGCAAAAGAAATCATGGGGTTGATGAGGTTGCTCAGGGGAATAAGCACCTGCTTAGGCAAGCACAGGGACTGGGGGATTGATCCCTGACACCACAGGCTCTGCTGGCCTCACCCTCAGGCACACTAAGCCAGCCAAGTCCCAGTGTGGCAGCACACACCTGTAATCCCCACACTGGGGAGGCTGAAAACAGGAGGATCATTAAGAGTCCGAGCTGTGTAGTGAGAGCCTGTACCAAATATACAAAGAAAAAAAGAAAAAGAAGGAAAGGAGAAAGAGAGAGAGAAAGAAAGAAAGAAAGAGAAAGAAAGAAAAAGAAAGAAAGAAAGAAAGAAAGAAAGAAAGAAAGAAAGAAAGAAAGAAAAAGAAAGAAAGAAAGAAAGAAAGAAAGAAAGAGAAAGAAAGAAAGAAAGAAAGAAAGAGAAAGAAAGAAAAAGAAAGAAAGAAAGAAAGAAAGAAAGAAAGAAAAGAAAGAAAAGAGAAAGAAAAAGAAAGAAAAAAAGAAAAAGAAAGAAAGAAAGAAAGAAAGAAAGAAAGAAAGAAAGAAAGAAAGAAAGAGAAAGAAAGAAAGAAAGAAAGAAAGAAAGAAAGAGGTGAAGAGACAGCACAAAGTGGGAAAAAAATTAGCCAAATGTTCCTTAAACTAAGGACAACTATCTAGAATTTATAAAATACTCAAAAAATCAGACTCCCCAAATTTTAAGACTCAGTTAAAAAATGAGTATCTAATGTGAATAAACATATCTCAGATGAAGAAGTAAAAATGGCAAATGAATATTTGAAAAATCATTGGTCGTTCCTGAACTACAAAATAAAACAATGCTGGGATTCCATCTCACTCCTGAAGAATGATTATTATTAAGAAATCCACCAAATGATGGCAGTTGGTCAGGCTGTGGGGTGAAACTAAGCCTTCTTGTACTGGTGAGAGTGTGCACTAGTGCACCCACTGTGAAAATCAGTGTGAAGATTCCTGCAAAAAGTAGGACTAGGGTCAGGGAGATAGCTTAGCAGGATAAGCACCTGCCTGGCAAGCACAAGGTCCAGAGTTTCATCCCTGGTACAACACCACCCGCCCAAAAGAAACCAACAAAAACCCACTAGGATTAGAGGTTTCAGTTGACCCAGTTATTCCCCTTCTTGGTATCATCCCAAAAGAATTAAAAGCATCAAACCACAATGATATATGCATACCCATATTTATAGCAGCATGGTTCATAATAGCTAAATCTTGGAAACAGATCAAATGCCCATCAACTGGTGAGTGGATAAAGAAGGTGTGATTTATTTTGCAATGGAGTACTACTAACCACAAAGCAGAATAAACTTGAGACAGTTGTAGGTAAATGGATGCACCTCAAGATCCTACTCTTAAGTCAAATAAATTGAACACACGAGTATATATACTGTGCTAGTTTTCTGGTGTGAAAAACAGAGAGTGTGAATAAAACCAGAATACATACTATCTGTTATGAAATAGGAAGGAAATGCTCAACCAGAAGCAGGAACTAGGAAAGTGGGAGGGTGAGAGACAGAAAGAGAAAAGAAAAAGAAAAGAAGAAAAAATGTTGAAACAAAGTTTTGTAAATTAGGACAGGAAAAAGGATTGAAGGGTGAGTAGGATAATGGGGGATGTGCATTTATAATCTATCATATAAAATGATAGATCCCTATCATAAATGTGATCACTATGTATATTTAAGATGTATCAGTGAGCTCAATTCAGAACAAAAACAACAACCACCAGAAACAACCTAAAATAAAAGAAGATTTATTGTTAATATAAGGTAGATGTATTAGAATAATATGGAGCAAGGAATGTTTAATTGCAGTATATACTTAGCATCATTTTCTTTTATTTTAAATATACCTGGTAGTAATCTTTCATATAATTGGTAGGTTATTACAGAGATAGAAGGGGTTATCACATAGTATAATAGGCTGTGTATTTTATTTTCTGTTAATATTGTATGGTTACCATTTGACCAGCTAATGCTATCAGATCATTTCTGGAAAGTCTAAAATATTTTAAAATTATAATTTATTGGGCCGGGGTGATGGCTCAGTGGAATAAGTGCTTCCTTGGCAAGCACAAGGGCCTGAGTTCAATCCCTGGTTCCACAAATAAAATAAAATAAAATAAAATAAAATAAAATAAAATAAAATAAAATAAAACAAAATTATAGTTTATCTTTGAATTCAGTGCAAATATTTATTTTGTCTGTTGATATATTTACTGCTTTGTTTTATTTTTCAGTGGCATAATTTACTTAGATTACTTAAGAAGAATGTTAAAGAACATTTACAATCAAATAATTTAGTAATTTGAGTCTTTTTTTAAATAGTGGTTTGAATCTTTATGGTGTGTATGATGTCAAAAAAAAAAAGATTTCAATAAGCTGGTGAAGAAGAACACTTGGGAAATGGATAAATCATTGGAAGAGTCTTAAGTGAGATATTCTGCCTTTTGAGTGCTGGAAAGCTATCTTCACCTTAATTGTGGTTAGAAATATCATAGAGTTTTAAGCATTACTTCAATGAGAGAATCGACATTCTGCATTGCTTTTACTCGCTGTCAGGCACCTCTAATATCTGACACACTTCGCAAATCCACTTTTAGAGCTAAAATGGGAAAGGGTCAATGTTCATTCCTCAGAAGGAAATGGAAACAATACATGCATTTATACATGTAGACGCACAGCATACCAGTTTCAGAGAAGACAACTTAATAGTTATCTTGGAATATTCCTTGTGGTTGTTTTATTATAAATGACTCTTAATAGAGCATGCACAACAGAATTTATTACCCATTGAGTTCCTGCTCAAAATCAGCTTCTTAAAATGGAAATATTTGCAAACACCAACATTTCCTTGTCTCCAGCTTTCTGTTTCTGCATGTGTAAGGTGCTCTTCTTAACCCTATATTATATTGTTATGATCCACCCATTCTGGAAATCTTAGGAAAAATGATCCATTAACTGCCAAGTAAATTAGCAACTTATGTTTCCTTAGTGATAGCGATGTATCGGCCACTTAGCAAATCATAAGTAATATTCTTTTACTACAATCTTGACTCATTTATCTTTCTTTCTTTTCTGTCTTTTTACTGTAACTATATTTTCACAGTTTCTTCAGTGCTATCTCTCCAGTTAGGTGTAGGCAAATAAGAAGTGATCAGGTACATAAAGAAGAACCTTTCTTTCTAGTCAAAGTATAATCTTCATTGTAGCCTCAAACTTCTAACCAGTAGCCTTTGAACAGACAGGTGTAGTTTTCGTGTGTGTGTGTGTGTGTGTGTGTGTGTGTGTGTGTGTGTGTATTTCTTGCTTGCTTTGTTTTGTTCATTTATTTGTGAGGAATGAGAGATGGTTTAAAGTTAAATCAGTTGCTAATATTAAAAATGTGCAGAGTTTTATTTTATAATCTGGAATTACAGTTTCTTTTGAAGAAGTCACAAGAGATAATCATGATATAAAGTCCTGTAACTGATAGCATCACGTATAATTGTCCTTACCAACATGTCATGGTCTCAGTATCACAGTATCACCCATTCCAGCATTTATGCTAGTTTTAATATCTGTAATCAGGAGTAAGGCGTGATCTTTTGTGGTAACCAATTCAAAATTACAAGTTTATCAATGTGAAAGAACATCCAATGTACCTACATTGCTTCATATTTTCCATCTGTACAAATAAAGTGAAACTGCAATAGTTTTTAAATTCTGTACTTTAATCATTTTACTTGTGATTAATATTCTTAAAATATTTTAATTGAAATTTAATTAGTTTTTTCTTTTACTACTCTCACTTAAACTCATTAATGATAAAACATTTGTTTTCCTGTCTACAGTCATTTTCTTTCCATATCTTAAATATTTACCAGGCTTATTTTTTCTTTTTTACAAGCAAGCATGCATTTGTATCTTTAGATATGACCTATTTTAATTTTTTTATTTCCAAGAGAAAAAAAACAATAAAAATGTTATAGCCTATTTTTATAGTTTAACAATATGCTAGGGGCTTTTGAAGTAGCTGACGTGCCTTAACTTTGCAGTTAATGACATTATGACACTGTGGGGCTTGAGGATGGGCCAGTCTTTTGAGTAGCATTTTACAATCAACACTTTTCCCCTTTTCAGGATATCGAATCCCTAACAGGAGGGCTGAGTGGTTCTAAGGGGGCGGATCCACCGGTAAGTTAAACTCTTCATTAAAGTCAAGTGTTGATGAACTGAGTTTTGTACACAGTAGATCATCCAACAGCTGTTTCTGTGCTACTTTATCCTACGTAGGTGTGTTCCAAATATAGCTGTTGCAGTAACCTAATACAAAGTACTAGACTGTGAGGTGTGATATTTTTCAAAATGCTGTAGTTCCTATTACACCTCCATGTATTAGCACTAAAAACAGAAACAAAAGTCTCATTCTCTCATAAATCAATGATTTATGTTCTACTAATCTGCTACACTGAGTAAGAATTTACCATTTTGAACACAGCGTAAAATTCGGGTTGCTCTGAATTTTCTAGTAACTGAGAAAGTTATATTTGTGCTAGAAGTAGAATTGATTCTTGATATTGTTGCTTCTTTCTAACTTAGCTCAGAAATCTAGAAAATTAGGGAAAGCATTCTCAAATTTTAATGGTTATTTTTAATGAGAGGTTTGGTGTTCTAGTATTGAGAAGTACTATTTCTTTCTGTGATATCTGATCCCAGAAAATGTTGGTTAAGATGACATTCCTGGGTCTTCATGCTTGTAATACAAACCCCAACTCCAGGTGTATAACTCAAGTAATAGGACAGATTCAATTTATTTTAACAAATGGTCAACCATAAATTCTTATCATTATTTGCTTGTCACTTAGCATGGCAAGATTTCATGAGGAACACACAGAACTCAGTGTTATCCGTTTTTAGCTGTACTTCATGCTGGCATCTAGGTGAAAAACAGTTTTATTAAAACACTAGTGGAGTATTAAGAAGTAAATTTTGGCTATACATCTCTTGAGTCTGTCTCGCTCTTGGGTGTCTCATGAAGATCAGTCTTTGTCAAGTTGCTCCAAAGGAAGAGCTAAGCAACTAAGTAAGAGCTAGCCTTCTTACATGTTCACCACCTATATTTCTATAGAAAAATGCTGCTTATACTTACCCACTGGAATTAGCACACTGTGGTATAAAGTAAAACACAAGTGAATCCAGAAAACATGCTGACAGAGGTTATGCCCAGCCCTGTATGTAGGTATTGAAGGTGACCATTGATGTGATATAATTTTGCTGTCATGTATTGCACAGTGCTTGTGAATAGTATTGAACCTACATCAGAAGAATAAATCCATATGCTTCAAAAGACTTCCCTCACCTGCTCACTGATGGCTCAAAGAATTCTACCATAAGAGAGCAGTTGCTTTCAAATTGACTTGTTCCTTGCTCAAAACAAATTCACACTTCTGGAAGTGGTGACAAAAATCTTATCTATTACCTTCATGTTAAAAAAATTTAATTTATAATATGACTTAAGAAAGTGTGCTTCCACACCTAGCAGATGGAATGGGCATCCAGTGTAGTTGAAAAAAAGTGCCAACCTGGGGAAAGAAGAGCTCAGAAAGGAAAGACGGTGCACAGAATACCACTCCATCCCTTTCCTCCCTCAGATAACAAGGAAGAGGCACTAGGAACACAACTTTCTAGCCTGAGGTTTCCACTATAAATACATCATAATCTATACTACTATGAAGAAAAGGGTCTTTCTATATGATTTACCATAACGGTAGGTATTTTATACTGATGCTTACATTTTCTAAAATTGAATGCTGTACTTATCTTAAACTTATTTTCAAGTGGAAAAATCATGAAAAATTTAGGGTGTGTAAAAGCTTGTACAGTCTAAGGGTTCATCAGTATGCAGTGACTCACTGTCTCCAATTATGGGCGAGTTATCTGAAACATACCGCCAGGAGCTACGTTACAAAGTCATTTTATTAGTTCTCTGTAGAGCTTTATAATCCTGCCTGAATATGCAGGAGAAATGTTCAAAGTAGCTCTGTTACTTCAGCCATTTAAGAAGAAAACTTTGAAATAAGTTACTTTTTCCAAGTTAGAAACTGAAAGTCAGAGTCAGAAAAAAAAAGTAAAAATAACTGAAATCACTTAAAATTTTCCATGGCTATCCATTCTTTAAAATAAAGCACATCGCCAAATATTGTCACTTCTCAAGTTGTGTTTTCCACAGAAATGTTTGGAGTGTACAACTAAAATCTTCCCATGGTGAAATTTTCATTGGTTAAGAAATTCAACATCTCTTCATTGATTAAAGTATGGTATGATTTAAAGTATATGAAAAGATAAATGCAAGTGATATGCAAATAATATGCTTTTTATATAGGGTTTTGTCTGCAGATTTTGGTATCCACAGGGTTTCTAGAAAGTAGTCTCTCTTGTGTATTGAGAGATGATTATGTACCACTTTGTCATAATTTAAATGCATTAATACTTAACACATTAAGTTGTGAAGCAATTGGGAACTGAGAAGAATCGGCTTGTGCTAGGAAGCAAATTCTGAGTGACTCCCTAGGAAGGCCAGGCTAGGGCTTCTGGCCTCAGCTTCAAATAGCCAAGAGGACTGTTGAAACTGGAGGTCTAGGATCTTCAAATTATGAATCTCCCACACACCTATAAAACAGAGCCCTGTTGTTTGGAAAGTTGTGGTTGTCCCATCCATCGTAGAATTAGCAGTATGGGATATTGCTGCTGCCCAGGTTGAGCCCATGACCTGGTGGCACAGAGGTGCTGGCCATGTCCAGGTGGGTGCCACATTCCTCCTGGACTGCAGGCTTGGGCTAAGTCTGCAGGTGCAATTGAAGAGTGTGCATGACAAGAAATGTGAAGTTCAGTACATTAGATGAAAGCAGCTTAATAGACACCATGTGGGTATTTGTCATTGTGATTTGGTTTAAGAAAATATTTTGATTCTGAGCATTTTACTTTTTCATCATGCCTGGTGTTTTTTAAAGAACAAGTAGACAATTTTCTAATAATAAGAATAAAAGTAATGTGGAAGAAAGTGTAATAATTAATGTGATCCAAACCTTAGACAACATAAAACATTCTGGAACACAGTTCATTGTTTTAGTTACTGGGCAAATGTGAAATAGGTTTGTGCTGTTTCAGAGTGGTGTCGGGGTTTATCTTTGTCACTGTCTCATAGACAAATTATAAGAATGCTACTGGGGAGATCCAGTTTTTTCTTATTGGTTCCCTCCCACGCCCCAAATCTTTACTTTGAAATTATAAGATATATAAAGCTGGTGCTAGGCCAGCCAAATAGCTCAGCAGATTAAAGCACCTGCAAGTAGGTGTAGAGGCCATGAGTTCGATCCCCGGGCCTGCCGTGCTAGCCCCGCCCCCTTGGGCACACTGAGACTGGCAATTGAGCCTGGACTGGGTGACCCACACCTGTAATCTCAGCACTTGGGAGGCTGTAAACAGGTGGATCACTGTAAGTGTGATCTAGTAATGAGATCCTGAACACCCAGTAGACCCTTCCCTAAAAATAAGAAAAAAGAAGAGCTGATGCCTATGAAACTTAGTATTTTTTAATTTGTTGTCTGTTTCCTTTTTCCAAGTGCTAACAGTTCTTTATTATAAGAGTGATAAATAAATGAGTCCATACAAAACCCATCCCTGTGCTGGATAAACACAGTTCTGAATGTTCTTTTGCTATATTAATTTTTTCCTTACTGATTAAATCAGAATTCTGTGTTTCGTACTCTCTGTATTTTTGTACTTTCTGTTCTCATTTTAAAGCTTTTTAATGTTTCGAGGCAATTGGGATAAACACAACATAGAATTTTTTTTAAAACTTCAATTTCTCAAGGATGCTGTTGAGACCAGGTTTTACATCTTTCAAATTGTTCACTGGCTTAGAGCTTAAACTTTCTAGTTTATGTAAATTTTATGATTTGAGAAAGCCAGCTTTTTACTTCAAAGGATAAAAAATAAAATAACGCAAATCTTAATTATGACTTAATTTTATCTTTTTCAGAATGAATTTTATATTTCCCATCACTTTTTAATTTTTTAAAAGAATCTTTATTTGTTTATTTATTTATTTATTTATTTATTTGGTACAGGGTCTCGCTATGTAAGTGCAAGGACCCAGGGTTCGATCCCCGGTACTGAATGCCATGTGGCCCATGGAAACCTGGGGTGGTGGCGCACACCTGTAATCCCAGTGCTGGGAAGGCTGAGATAGGAGGATCACTAAGAGTCCCACCTGTGTGGTGAGACCCTGTACCAAATAAATAAATAATAAATAAAAAGATTAAGAACTAGAAGATGCCCATGAAATTATGAATGATACTCTTGTCTGTTGTGTCAGATATAAAAAGGCAAATTCCCCACGTGCTCACTGAGATATGGAAGTTGCAACATGGTTGTACAATTTCACGTCAAATGTTATTTAATTTTACTGTTCTTTCTAAATTATTGCAATTTTGTTCAAAGTAGCAATATAATCTTAATCATGACAATATAAATGTTTTTATTTTGTATTGTTCTTTTCTTTTTAATTCCTATTAATTTTATTAATAAAGTATGAATATAGCTTTACACATATAATTAATCATTAAAATGTGAAAATATGAAGTAAGATAAAAGTGTGTAAGGGAACATTTGTAATACCTACTGTGTGCTTACTTGGAGGGAAGGTTCAACGTCAAAGCAGCAGTTTTCAGGGTTGGGATCTCCAGAGGTGACTGGAAGTTGCTGACCTCATGGATTAATCCATGGAGGAGCTCAGAGAGGCATGAACTAAGAGGCGGGGGCCGTGCTTGGAGGGAGTAGGCCAGAGCCTGCTGGTCTTGGAGCAGTGTGTTCTCCTCCTCAGCTCCTTCCCATCTGGGTGCTACCTGGGCCCTGTGTCCGCATGCAATGGGCAGGAGCGTTCCTCTGCCCAGTCTTTTCTCCTGGTGATACTGCCTTGGAGCCAGCTGAAGACAACCGGAGACCTCTTTCTCCCTGTACGTGCTGTACTTCAAGAAATCAGGCATAGCAACGGAAGGCTGACTAACAGCAGGACAGCCGGAGGTGCCCGGGCCTGCGCGGACTGAAGGCTGCTGCTTTTGGCTCACTAAGGACCCCAGAGATGTGGTGCTGTCTGTCCTATGCGAAGGAGAGAACAAACCCCGTATCCTGAA